CATTGAACGTGGTGCCAGTAAGCAAGCATCTTTAGAAGAAACAGCCACATTGACGAAAATTCCAACATCAACTGTATGGAAAATCACATTTCAGCGAGGAAAAAAAGAAGCGATTCTGACATTTTCTCGAGTGTAGATGAAAGTAATCAAGATATAATACGGTGTAAAATTTACCAGTTATACGAGGACCAAAGCGTGCCTACATTAGATATCTTAATTAGGAGGCTTGAAAAAGATGATACCGGTGTTAAATCTGGCAGAACTACCTTATGGAAGTGTATTCAAAACATCGGTTTTAGATTTTAAAAAATTGTCAAAAGGCAAGTTTTAATGGAATCTTTTAGAATTCGGAAATGGCGACTGGAATATCTAGAAAAATTAGGATTTACACAGAACAACAAAGGCCAATTATTTACTTGGATGAAACCTGGTTCGACACTTATGATACCCCGGAAAAGGGTTGGGTTTACTTAACTGATAAGTATAAAACTAACGCGCCATCAAAAAGAGGTAAAAGAATAAATATTTTGCATGCTGGCTCTAAAGATGGTTGGATTCCAAATGGACTTTCTCTGTCTGCGAAAAATATTAAAGATTCTTCTCTGGATTTCCATGAAGACACCACCGCTGATTTATTTGAAAGTTGGTTTAAAAACAAACTAGTTCCAAACATTCCTCCTAATAGCGTCATTCTAATGGACAATGCAGGTTATCACAGTAGACAGTTGACTAAAACCTCTTCCTCATGTGACACAAAAGCAACAATCCAAAACTACATGTATAATAACGACATTTATTTTCACGAAGATTATACCAAAAAGCAATTAATTGAAGTTCTACAAAGCTTGAACCTACAAAAGGAATACGTCTGTGATAATTATGCAAAAAAATTGAAGGCATACAGTTTTAAGGCTTCCACCTTACCACTGTATATTTAATCCCATTGAACATGTTTGGCACCAACTGAAATCTGCCATTCGTCGTAACAAGGTTTTTGCCCGTGTTAACTCCGTAAAATGAAAATTATTCTTACAATTCTCAATCATTTCTAAAGAAATGTAATTTCTTAAAAATGCCGTTAATTTGACAGAATTATTGCCATTAATATTTCTTACTTAAGCAATTGTCTATTTGTTTTATTAAAATACTTCAACAGGGTGTTTCTCAAAGGATATGACGTTTAGAACAAATATTCATATGGTTTTCTTTTTAAAATGAACCCAAAAATCGCCCAGAACATTCCATGGAAATATGTCGAATACCAAGTAGAATAATCCATATTCTACTAGCACAATACTTAACGCATAAATCGAGAATAAATTCGCCGCATATTCGCGGCAAACATTCATAAATCCATCTCAAAGTCGTAAGAAAAACGTTTTGTTGGACATTTAATATCGGGACGAATACACGAAAGTTTTCAGATGCAATTTCTCAGAGTTTCGTCCATATCGATAATATGAGAATATCTATAGGCGGTGCAGGGTCGGATCTGGAAATTTAAGGTAACTTTGCGTTTGACGAAATTAGCAAGCAATGAGACTACTGCATTAGTTTATGTTGCACTTGAGTGACGATGCAAATTATTATTTAGCAGTCTTACACGTTTCTCTTTAAAAAGCTTCTGAGCTGATTTCATAGGGCGTGTCATTTCATGGAGGCCCTTCTCTGCACTCTTTCCAAAGCACTAATGGCCTCCGGATACTAGCTAGCATGGATCGAATTTTGTAACTCTTTAGAAGTAACTAAAAAGTTTTTCAATCCACTTAAAATCTTCGGCAACTAAATCTTTTTGTTCTTCTGCAACGCAAACCTCTACAGACAATATTATGTGGATGAGTCGAGGTGGAATGTTTCGAATCTTTTAGTCATTCGAAATTCTTCCTGTCCATATTTTTATAGTACTATTCCAGTTGGTCCATTTGGATTTTTTTATTCTTTGTATTTAGAATGTATGCCAAAAAATTGGGGCTTTATCATTTCCACGCAAAATATCACTAACCACATATCAAAACTTCTAAAGAAGTATAACGTCAAAACCAGATTTACCACTTGTCCAAAAATCTCTCAACATCTTCGGCCCGTCGAAGATAAAATTCCATTTGAGATGCCAGGAGTTTACAGCATTCCAGGCATATGCGGCAAAGAATACGTTGGAGAGACCGGACGAAAAATATCAACTAGGCTCAAAGAACACGAAAGAGTCTTACAACTAAGAGAAATAAACTCATCAGCCGTTGCCGAACACATTCAAGAGACCGGACATAAAATGTTATTCGAAAAAACTAAAATTCTTGCATGTAAAATCAATTCGTCTAGAAGTCTATAAACAAGTTAGTCATTGATAGAGGAGTAGACTGTTAATTGTCTCTCGATCCCTCTCAAATCCTCGAAAGCCGGCCCACGCTTCTATCGCTCGTACAAAAGAAGCATGATACAGGATACTCGAGACAAATTCGAAAAGTTTGGTACGTAACCTGATGGAGCGTGGCATTTTCAATATGGGAACGCAGATACAAAGCAAATAGTAATACATCTATCACATGTTTTAAAGTTTCGAAAGTTCTAAATGGAACTCAGAACTCCCGTGGGAAGTTAGACAATTGGATGAAACTATGATTAAGGGTGATCTGCGTTTTGTTGAGTTTTGCGATCAAAGTTGGTTCCCTGTGGGCGTTTTAAGGTACAAAAGACTATAAGACAGACCTTTTTACCTGTGCCGCTTGTGTTGACTTCAAGTAGATGACTTTTTTACTAACATCGGCTTTTTTTGACATTGTATTGGAGCACGAGTTTTCTACAGACCTTTAGTGAATTGACGAAAAAAAAATGGAAGGTCCAGTTGTGTATGCAATACACCAAAGGATCAAACCTTGTGGAACACCTCACCGCAGATGTCAGAGTATCCTTAAACTCAACATATTGAAGTCTTTTACTAAGATGATTGCATAACAGCTCTCTGTAAAAAACATTACAATATATCTTTGCAGATGCTGTCTAATCTTATAATTAATTATTTTTTCAAGAACTTTCGATGATACTAAACGATCTGAGGTCATAAAAATTTGAGATTTCGGTCTTTTTAGGAAGTAGTAATTACTTTTGATATCTTCCTCTTATACCAGAATACTTTATCTAATAGACAGGAATTGACAATATTGGTTAGATAGGGGAGAAGAAGGTTTTTTTGTTTTTTATTTTTGCTTCTCTGAAAGGCGACAATACAACATACAACACAGAACAAATAATAACATCTCTATTTTTTGCTATCCTTTAGGTTTTATGCTATTAAATTTGACAGTCCTCTCATCTATCCTAACCAGCGATATTTATTTATTTGTATTTTTTATTTTAATTCTTGACTACGTTTTCACAGCAGTAATATTTCAATTCATTGTCAGTATAATGTATGACATGCCCGATTTCTATGAATATGAAGCAGCTGTTGATGCAACCAAACACAGTACAATGGCATAGTGAGTAAGTAGTTTTATGAACCAAGTCTGGCAATGATCACTATAGTCAATTCTATCAATATAACTATTGATAGAATTGGCCTGTATAGCTTTAGTTAGCTTTTGATGTATCCTTCCCCAAAAAGTAACTAGGGCGTTCCTACCTTTTGTTTTGTTGTTTTCGCGGTGATTGTACTTTCCTCAAGGTTCTCTCATAGCAGTCACCTCTATAGTCCTATCGAGAAAGTGAGCCATCTATATTACACATATCGTAATTAGCAAGATGTTCAATGCTGTAGCGATTGTTATATGTGAAATAATTAATAAAATTCAACTTTACACAAAAGAAAAATTAGTAAGATGTGTTTAGCAAGAACAATTACGCATGCTGCTTCTCAAAGACTTCTTACGTTGTACGTTGTGGCAATAGGACATGGTATACTATAATTAGGTACTGAACATTAATCAATCCTCTTAATCCTCTCAGAGCGAACAGTCCACTGCTTAGCTTAGCTTAGCTGAACTACCATTCGTAATAGCTTTATTAATTGTAATCGTCAACTGTTGGGTCTTGTCATGGTTCAGTTTTAAGGAGTTGGTTTCGAACCAATTATTTGGCAAATATTCAAGAGTAGCCCTTTGTCACACTTAAATATTAAAAGTTTCTCATAAACCGAGAAACTAATCGACAAGTACATTCCAGGCGTGCTCGAATGGTGAATAGCAGTCGTTGATGTCATTCGATTGTCAAAAAAAAGTAAATATATTTACTGGAAAAGAGGCAACGTTTTTCTGTTTGTACTGCCGGTAGGGGCGCTCGTATTCCAAGCGGGTCGTAAAGTAAACTGTCCCTTAACGAGATAAATTTAAATAACCCTAACTTAATTGTTTGTTATAAAATAAGGCATATTTAAACTTCCATAGAATTTTACAAAAAAATAAAATAATTTTTTGAGACTAACGACAAACAACAACAGAAAACCTAACATTGCAAAAATTAAAATGACGTTAATTTTCCTTCATTTTTTTGAAACAACGCTGCCTGTGGTTTTAGTGACTTCTATACTTCAACGTTTTCCCTTCAATGTTTTGATTAGGGCACATTTCTTCTTATTTTTGAACCTCTCGAACCTCAAAAAATTCTGTGTTAAAGGTTTTAGCATTTTTACCAGTTATCAACTACTGCTATTTATAAGGAAACTTAGTTATATTTTTTGTTTTCATGATTTTATGAGTCATTCTTTTGAATGTGCTTTTGTTTGTTTTTATTTAATAAATATTAATATTTATTCTTAACGCCCAAAACGTCGTCCGTCGCAACTGTATATTATTTCGAACAATCCTAAATTCCGTGGCCCACCCTCCACGATAAGGTCATTGCTATATATACCAAATTGTAGAGGCCCCAAAACTGGGCTTTGGGGCACTCCAAATCGCAGACTTTTTAAGGATGATATCCTATCTCTCCTTGGAACTAAACACACTGCTTTTAAATCTATATCCCAAATTCCATACCTCTTCATTATATTGTGTCTCGCGTTTCAGTAAAACCGTTCTTCAACAAGGAACCGAAGGACTTCGAAGCACTGGCGGCCCAAAGGGTCATCTTCGAATGTTCAGTAGACGGTGACCCCATGCCGAACGTCATTTGGCGACGCGACGATGGAAAAATGCCTCTGGGACGTGTGTCCATTCTAGACGACAAATCGCTGCAGATAGACAACGTGCAACCCGGCGACGAAGGCGTCTACATATGCAACGCGGACAACTTGGTGGGCAGCGTGTCGGCCAAAGCAACCTTGGTTGTGTACTGTAAGTATCCGATAAAAGTGTTCGAGTTGTTAATTAATCTTAAAATGAAAAATGCAGCAAGAGCAATACGCGTTAAAAAAAAACAGAAACTAGGTAGCGGACTTTCTGGACATATTAAAATAATATATCACACTAGATAAAAAGTATATTGACAAAAATAAACTAAAACAACTTTTAAGAAATGAAACATGGAGTTGTATATAGACACAGACATAATAGCAAAAAACTTTATAGATATCGTAAAAACAAATATAAAATTAGCAACAATAAAAAGAAAATACAATAGTAAAATTGTAAATAAAAATCCTGGGATTACACCCGCGATACTGAAATCGATTAATGCAAAGTACGAATTACTAAATAAAACAAAAAAATATCCAACAAATCCTGTCTACGCTCATCAATACAGAGTGTATAGAAACAACCTTAATAAAGTTCTTGGCAGTGCGTATACTACATAACACAAATCTAAAATGGACAAAAATCTTAACAAATTTGATAAACCGTGGAAAAACATAAAAAACATGCTTAACAAACATGAAACAGAAAAAGAAAAATTTTCAGAAATTGAAAGTAACGATAAGATAATTACAAACGAACAAGACACAGCAGAATGTTTTAACAAATATTTTAGCACTGTTGGAAAAACTATGAGACAAAAAGTTGCTGTCGATGAAACAATCACATTTTCTATGCCAACAAATGAACACTCACTCTTTTTAACGCCCACAAATATCGAAGAAGTCACTCAAATTTTAACAAATCTGAAAAGAACACCACCTCTAGTCTACCTTATGAATAAATGTTTTGAAACGGGAAAATTTCCAAAAATTCTTAAATAGGCCATATATAAATCCAGAAATAAAAAGTTAGTCACCAATTATAGACCCGTCTCAATTTTAAACAGTACTAGTAAAATTATAGAAAAATTTTTTTAGGTTAATGAAATTTTTTAAAAAATTCAATATTTTGTGTGAAAATCAATTTGGATTTCGGGATGGACTTTCAACAGAGGATGCCTTAGTCAAACTCAACAGTATAAGCAAATCAGTAGACGATGGAGAAAAAGTACTGTGCGTTTTTGTTGATTCGGCTAAGGCGTTTGATACGGTTGATCATCACAAATTAATTGAAATCTTGGAGAGGGCTGGTGTCAGGGGTATTGCCCTAAAGTTTTTTTAAAAGTTGAAGTAGGAAATGTGGTTAGTGAAGACAGTTTTGGGCCCGGTATTCTTTATACTTTATATTAATAATTTATTTAACATAAAATCTCTCGGAGAACTAATATGCTTTGCGGACGACTCTGCCATAATCTACAGAGATAAATCCTGGCAAGCAGTTAAAAACAAAGCCGAACATGACCTACAGCCTATATTTAAATGGTTGTGTAACCATCTCTTAACTGTCAATTACTAAAAGACTAATTTTATGCCTTTTGGATGTTTTTGCTAGTGTCTTCCAGACTTCCAAGAACTGAATATCAAAATAAATGCGTGTGTCCATAAAATATAAAACCACAATCAAATATTTAGGGATTATGCTTGATCCTCATTTAAAGTGGGGTGAACACGTAAAATATACAAGCAACCGCTTAAGATCTTTAATCAGAAAATTTAAAGAATTGAAAACATATTTTGAAATGTCGTACTTGACAACCTTATATTTCTCACTTGTTCAACCACATTTAATTTATGGAATATAATATATCACACTGTTTTCAAAAATAAGGCTGATTGCATAGCAACGAATCTCAGTGAAGAAGGAAATAGATACAAAAACTGGCATTAACTTTTTTTTAAGAATAGATCAGCATAATAAAATTCAATTCAATTCAATTAAATGAACACTACGCATACACGGAATACCACCAAATATACTGCTTGCTCCAGAGAAACAGAAATGATAACACGCATCGAAAGCTTCTGAAAAAAGTAACCTATTCTGAAATTCTGCCACTAAATTTTAATCGAAAATGACGACAATATAGAGACAACGGCTTATGATTCTATATTTCATTGATATTGCCCAAACACAAGAGTAATTCGAGCTTCTTTCGAACCATGAGTAAAGGAAAGAGTTTCAAAAGCTAGATAAATCGACTACAATAAAGCCAAGAAAAGAAAGAAATGAGTAAATTGCTGATTTATGAACTCAAAAGACTCAGGATGAATAGTGAAGTCACCCATGATGATGACGATGATGATTATTAGACGCAGTTGTTTTTGTACACCTTCCAAAAATATCATGCCTCTTATCTATTTTGCAACATTTAAACTCTATTGTTGACAAATCTTTCCAGAGGATAGTAATTTCCCAGATTATTTGGGTATCGTGCTTGCTGGAACACAATGTATAAAGAGATTTATAGTGGAGATCCAAGATCCTACTATAATAACTAGATCATATGAAAAAACCTGTCTAAAGAAAACATGGTGGACATATGCCGAAAGTGAGGTAAGCCTGGAGAAACAATTGAACATATCACGGCGAGCTGCTCAGCATTATCTAACCCGACATTTATAAATATGGCCTCCTCTATAACCCCCCGCCCTATTATCAATACTCACCAGAACCTGCACTGGAATCCAACACCCACCTACTCTATTTTGACCGGCCGATGACCACCGATAGAACTGTGGAATTCAACCGACCTGACATCGTGGCCATTGACAAACCAGACGAACATGCATTTATTATAGATGTGGCGTGCTCACTTAGTGAGAACGTTTCTAAAACGGAGGTCGAAAAAATTACAAAGCATAAGAACCTGGGAAGAGAGATCAAAAATATCTGGAAACTCAATAAGTAGAGATAGTCCCCATAATAATTTCAGCAAACGGAGTCTTTACGATGCACCTAAAGAAAAATATCGATAAACTGAACTTACCAACACGATTGTACGAAATCATGCGAAAATGCGTAATTCTTCAGACATAACGCGCATGTTTCTGAATGGGGCAGAACTATGAAAAGAAAAAAAAAGAAGATCTAGTGAAAAACAATGAAATTTCTCTCCACCAGCCCAGCCCAGTCCAAACATCAAGAAAACACCAAAGAAATTATTGGACAGGTGAATAATAATAATAATAATAATAATAATAATAATAATAATAAACATCAATTATATCTTATCTAAGGATATCTTAGGCCAGAAACTGAATGTTTCTTGAGCTCTATACAGGACCAAGTAGTTCCCACTCGAAATTACAGAAAATACGTACTAAAACAGGCGGTGCCAAATTTAATATCGGCATGTAGTTATCTAGCACCAAAAGATTACTGGGACACTGGCATAATAACTGATCGGCAGGTAAGACACAATCGACCAGATATAGTGATTCTCGACAAGCAAAAGAAAGAGGGGTTTCTGATTAATGTGAGCATCCCATTGGACGAAAATATAGCTAAGGTAAGGACCAATAAAATTACTAAATATCAAGATCTAGCACACGAGCTAAAAGGCATATACCAACTTGCAAAAGTATCCATAATTCCAATCATAATCTCTGCAAACGGAATTGTGGAAAAGAACCTGCCCAAGTGTTTACAACTTTTGGGCATAGATAACCACAAGAAAATTACCACGCTGGTGCAGAAGGCGACAATACTGGGCACGTGCAACATAGTCCGAAGGGTGATGGTACATGGAGAAGTTTTTGACGAGTAAATTCCCGATGGTGAAAACGGACCCAACAAAAGTTATAATAATAATAGTAATAACAATGGTCTTTATTGAGAATTGAGATACATAATATACAGAATACACAATAACAATACTAAAATGTTAGTTCAATACATGGTTATTGACCTATAGAGTCTTAAGTAAAGGGTAAGTTCTTTGCCTTAAATTTCAAATGTACTCACTAAATGTTAATGATACATCCACCGTTACTCCGAAGCTTTTGGCCTTCGTAGCGAACGACAAGTTGCGAATATCTTTTCAGGAAGTGCATTCCAGATTCTTCCATTACAAAGACCCAATGAAAGAAGCATTTATTATTATCCACCGGTAATGTAAATTTGCCACTGCAGGTAGCACACGATTTTATTGCTATTACGAAGACCCTACTGAAATAGCTCTTTCGACTGGTCTTAAATACTGAAGGAATATTTTTAGCGTATTCAAAAGAAACTTTCCTCTCTGGTCCAATTTGTCAAATTAAGCATATAAGAAAACCCTTTTATCGCATGTTCGCTTCCCGACTTGTAAATCCCGACAAAAACAATAAACTCCAAAAGTTTGTCGCTCGCCGCGAGCTTTCAACGACAGAGACAAAAAGCGGAGCTTTTAATAAAAGTTTTCCGGTAAACTCGTAAGATGGGCGACGTAGTTTCCTTAAAATTTATTTTATTTGATGCGGCAAAGGCGGCGTCTAACGCTGTCGAAGTTTTTCAGGTACGTTTCAGGAAATAAACATTATGGACTATTCTACCCATGGACTCTAAATCTCTCTGGAGGGTTTTACTATTCTCCCAGACCTTGTTGATTTCAATCGAATTTAATTTTCTCTTCGTTTAAAGCGCTGCTGTTTTCTCCATCATGGTCTTTTCCAGGGTTTCATTTCGGAAAATGCCATTGAAAACATTAAAAAACTTTATTTTCCAGACACCCTTGTAACATAATTGCAAGATCATCGACGAGGTTAGATAAGAAAGAAATGGTGTACCATAACAAGAGAAGTATTTTTTGTCTAAGTTTATTTTCCCCCCTTGTCTAGACTGGAGTAATTAAGCCGTATTGAACAAAACTTCTTTCCTCAATGCTGGAAGACTGGAATCGGAATTCCCCAATACATAACCAAAACACCAACAACATATTTTCGTAAAGGATTTAGTTCATTTTCAGCCCTTGGGGTGGTTAATTAGGTATTATGGGTTTGAGAATGAATCATTAAATCTTGTCAAATTTTATGTACTTTCTGGGGTACCCCAATGCTTGGACCTATAGTTTTTATAGTCTACACTTCTCAGGCAAGCTGCAAGCTGTTTCTCATAACACACAGCTTTGTTTATTTTTAATACTTCTACGGAGACCATTACTTCTGAGTTAAACCTACCAAAGGATCTTTCTGAGCAACACTTGCTAAAACTCCTCCAAATCCAGAGTACTGCAATTTGGAAAGAATACAAATAACTATTTTAGTCGCCTGTATCAAAATGAAGAAAATCGGATCATATTGCTCGAAATATTAATGAACTTCAGTAAAGGAGTATGTTTTATCTTTTTTGTTGCTTGGTAGGTATATGGTTTAGCAAAAAGCTCCATTCTATCTTTAGAAAATTAAATTTAACCTGAACTTCGATGTGCATTACAGGGTTAACAGAAATCAATGAAGATTTTTAATTACAGATCAGCATCGTACAAAAAAAGTTTTGGTTATTTCTTGATTTACTAAATCACTTTCAAAGTTATGAAAATTCATTTATTTAACTAGCACGTAGCACAGGTAGTATTAACTAAGACTGCTAAGAGTTATTTTATGTTGGTGTCTGGTACTACGCACAAATATGTTAATATATGGAACCAAACCTTCTCACCTTAATTGAAAAATGCTTATCGGCGACATATTTTTCTTATAACGGTCAAATGTTTGAACAAACGTCGGGAACAGCTATGGGTTCTCCACTATCACCAGTCATCGCGAATATGAGAAGAAAGCTCTCGACACCTTTCATCTAAAACCAAAATTATGGAATTATGGTCAAGAAACCTTGAGTTGGAAGCTAAAATAACCTTCCATTCTTAGATATTCTTATCAATAGAAAACCAGACGTAACATTGGGTCATTGTGTTTACAGAAAACCTACGCCCGAGTCACTGAAAACAGAATTAAAACACCTTAGCTCTGCTTTTCTCTCTAATAATTTCCACATTAAAGACTTTAAGCGTTCCATCAAAAAATACACTTCACCACAACCTTCCAATAGCAATGAGGCCGAAAGCAATCCTACACTTGCCACTGTGGTCCTTCCTTACATTCAAAACATCACTGACCTCATATCAAAAGTTCCTAAGAAGTATAACGTCAAAACCAGATTTACCACTTGTCCAAAAATCTCTCAACATCTTCGGTCCGTCAAAGAAAACATTCCATTTGAGATGCCAGGAGTTTACAGCATTCCATGCATATGCGGGAAAGAATACACTGGAGAGACTGGACGAAAACAATCTAACAATCTTAACCGCGACTCAGCTCTCTACCTGTCACCAATTTGGGAATCAGTCATCCGAGACGGTGTTTATGCCCCTCCTTATCGCCCCTCTCAAACAATATGTAAGCAGCTGCAGAGTAAAATACGCAGCAGTTTCAATCAAGCTCTGAAGAAGCCAACAGGATGATTGGCGAAACGTCAGCAATTTCGACGCAGGAGGAATCCAGAAGTTTTGTAAAAGAGTTGTTATTATCTGTTTTGCATGGGGAACAGTAGACAATTATATATTTACTTTCTTTTTATCACATAATTTATCTTTATTGGTGTAGGGAAGGGTGGGGCAAATCGGCCCACTTGAGCTGTTTATTATTTTTTGCTGCTTTTAACCAGCAAGTCGATTTATTTTTGATTAACTAAATTTACCCAAATTCTTGGACGTGCTCCACTCTCCCCTATTTATAATGTTATATGTGATAATTATAATTATTTATTGAAAAGTATTTATTACATAAAAACGTTATTCATTAGTAACTAATTATTTTTCTATAGACAAAAAAATTTGTTTTTGGTATTTATAAGATTTTCAAAAGTTCTGGCTTTACGCTAAAATAAAATAAATAAATAATAATAAATAAAATAAAATAAAATATGGAATTAATTAAAATGTACAAGTAACCAGAAGTTTTAATTGTAAACAAATATTTTTTTTATAATTATTTATTTATTATTCTTTATATAATTTTTGTTATTATTTTTTAATAATATTAGTATAATAAAAAAACAAATGAGGTGGACCCTCTTGCCCCAGGGGGCAAGCGATTTTCCGCTATTTACAAGTCAACGACCTACCTACATAAACCAATCTTTAGCTTCGTAGCAGGATATTTAGTTTACCCGGGTTAAGTTTAATTAGCCTTAAGGTAGACTTTACTCTGTACACATTTATATTTTTCGTAAGTTTATACTTTGATTATTGACATTATACCAAGATGTAGTTTGAAGTGTCAGTGACATCCAAGAATCAAGCGATATGCTTTTATCTCGTAAGATCAAGATCAAATATGTAGAAAAAAACGAGCAATACAAATCGTGCAGTTTCGAAAATTATTTTTCCCATGCTAACGACATACGTGACATGTGTATGACGCTAGAACGGATAAAACAACATTTTAATCTCCACGATTTGACCGAAAGTTAAACCGATTGCGTTGGACGTAGTGAATTTGCGTTTGTTCAATTAGCTGTCATATTCCAAAAATTGCAGAATAAATTGTACGCGCGGATTTCGTTCCGGTTGAAATTAAATACCGGTCTGTGTGTTTGTGTTTAAAACATGATGTCGCGAATATTAACACCGCAAAATGATTTAGCGTCGGACATTTGTTTGCCTTGTAATTAAAATGTCCGCTATTCGCTTTCCGAAAATATTGATATTTCTGCTAGCTTGGCGTTTCCCGGATATGCTGAAATCTTTGTTTTCCTGAAATTATTTGAAAACATATTGTCGTCTTAGTTTTCGAGCATAATTTTTTGCCGAAGTCTTCTCAAGTGGGTTTAGATGAAACAAAAGCCTCATTTTGCTTATTATTTCAACCTGGTTGGGAGTATTTAATGAGTGAGAGAGGGAGGGAGGGAAAGAAGGAGATAGAGAGAGAGAGGGAGATAGGGAGAGAAAGAGGGAGATAGGGAGAGAAAGAGGGAGATAGGGAGAGAAAGAGGAGATAGGGAGAACAAACTATACCATACTCAACTATATTATGTTTCAGTACAAGAAAAACACTTTTAGGTATTTTTTCAAATTGAGATTCGTATTCGGGACCACCTAAAAGTATCCAATGACCAAAGTTTTTAATATTGTAAAAAATAAATATTTACCGTGTAAATAACGATTATTTTGTGTGTGATTTTAAGAATTACAAACAAATTTTAATTATGTACATTGCAAAAATAATCAGAGGCATTTATTTTTTAGTGTCACCACAAAACAACAACAGTGTAATGAAATTCGCAAAAGTAAATTAACTGCAACCTCTCAAAAATTCGTTTTTTTACCCCAAAAAATTATCTCTTAAAAGGAGATTCACCGCTTTCCCTCAAATTTCAGGAATTTTAAAATTTTTTTTGGCCTCATTAATAAAACTCCATTTTCCTAGCAATCCACAACTCTATTTTCCCCTTGCGATGGGATACATACATTTTATAATGTAGAAAGTACAATCTTCCGCTTCAGAAAACTGGGTCAGTTGGCCATGAGTTTAATCTATTTTGTGAAAAAAAAATCGTAACTGTGCCTTTTAGTAAGATATGTCCAACAAAAAAAATCAAAATTTAGCCATAAACCAACATTCTAATATAATATATAATAATAATAATAATAATAATATAGTATAGTTTGGTTTTAGGTAGTCTTGAAACAGAGTATGTCAGACCTTTTTTAATTTTATCAATACCAATATCTTAACAAAACATCATTAAGCAACGAAAAATTAAAAAAAAAATTACTCTTCATGGAGATTTTGACACTTTTATTCCCAAAAAAATGAACGTCAAACGGGAAGAAAGGATTGTGTGTTTCCAAATTTCTGAACAGAATTTTCACCAACCAATATTACAGAGACTAAAGGCCTGACCGTACATTTCGATGAAAAACTAACTTCCGGAATCACATAGTGAGCACCGTATCTTATATTATTTGTAATTATGGTTCTATCATCATTATCACAAATTTCTTACTTTTTATTTCTTGATGATTCTTTATTTTTATTTTTTATTATTAATTTATTATCGTTAATCTTCTAGCTCCGCCTACGTTCGTCGAGCGTCCCAAGGACCAAACTGCTTCCCTAAACGGAGTAGTAGAATTCCACTGTTCCGCCACTGGGAACCCAAAACCGTCGATTTTCTGGAGCAAAGAAGGTTCCCAGATACTAATGTTCAGCGACAATTCCAACGGCCATATGCACGTCAACGCCCACGGAACCTTAAGGATACAAGGCGTTCAAAGGGAGGACGCCGGCTGGCTGGTCTGCAATGCCCTGAGCGTAGCGGGTTCCAACAGCGTCAGAGCTTTCATGCAGGTATGGTCTGTTCATAGATATAAGAAAGCGACCAATTGCTTTTGAATGGGATTATCCAAGGGTGGTCATTAACATACAATGCAATAAGATTATTACCTAAACTTTCGGAATTTAAATTCAAGTAAAATTGTGGTCCGTAATAGAAAATAATTTTATACTTACCTGTGTTTAATATTCTTTGGTTTGGTATACTACTTAGTTTAAGTTTATTAGTAATCATTCTTATTTCGTGTGTAATACAGCGTGTGTTGAATCGTGTGCGAATTATGCAAAATATGTGCGAGTCTAGTGTATCTCAGGAGATACTGCCGCCCAAATGTAAAAAACACTATTCTATTGAGACTAAGGAAGTTATAAACAATGTTTATTTGACTCTCATTGAATGTGGTGCCAGCAAGCAAGCATCTTTAGAAGAAACAGCCACATTGACGAAAATTCCACCATCAACTGTATGGAAAATTGTGAATACTCCCATTTCAGCGATGTAAAAAAGAAGCGATGCTGACATTTTCTCGAATGTAGATGAAAGCGATCAAGCGTGCCTACATTAGACATCTTAATTAGGAGGCTTGAAAAAGATGAAACCGGTGATAAATGTGGCAGAACTACCTTATGGAAGTGTATTCAACACATGGGTTTTAGATTTTAAAAAAATGACAAAAGGCAAGTTTTAATGGAATCCTTTAGAATTAGGAAATGGCGACTGGAATATCTAGAAAAAATTAGGATTTACAGAGAACAACAAAGGTCAAATATTTACTTGGATGAAACCTGGTTCGACACTTAGGATACCCCGGAATAGGGTTGGGTAGACTCAACTAATAAGTGTAAAACAAACACGCCATCAAAAACAGATAAAAGAATAACTATTTTGCATGCTGCCTCTAAAGATGCAAATGGACTCTGCCTGCGAAAAATATTAAAGATTCTTCTCTGGATTATCATGAAGACACCACCGCTGACTTATTTGAAAGTTGGTTTAAAAACAAACTAGTTCCAAACATTCCTCTTAACAGCGTCATTGTAATGGACAATGCACAGTAGACAGTTGACTAAAACCCCTTCCTCATGTGACGCAAAAGCAACAATCCAAAACTACATGTATAATAACGACATTCATTTTCACGGAAATTATATCAATATTGAGGTTCTAGAAAGCTGTCTGTGATAATTATGCAAAAAATGTAGGGCATACAGTTTTAAGGCTTCCACCTTACCCTGTATATTTAATACCATTGAACATGTTTGGCACCAACTGAAATGTTTTTTCCCGTGTTAACTCCAATTTCCTCAAACTTGTAGAAATCAACTACAACTAAAAGACTGTGTTTCTGATGTCAGTTTTTTTTTTACAAGACAAGATATAGCCCATATAAACAGCTATTAAAGGTTTTCACCTCAGGGTGTTTTCATGCTACCTAAGAAATGGATTAAGTCTTCAGCATTTGCAGATATCGGCTTCAAATTTTACAGAGAAATAGAGGGCCGGGCCCACATCTAAATAGCCGAAATTGGATGCAATAAGCTTTCACCAAGTTTTTTTTTTTAATTTTTGTATTTTTTTTTTGTTTTGGTGTCCGGAGAAACATGTTTTCCTCCACAACCATTCACCCGATCGGCAAAATTCTTGAACCAGCAGAAGCGGAAGATCCAGCGCTATAACATTTACTTCCGGCATTTTTTGTATAATATACAGGGTTTCCTAGTTATGGACAAAAATTGAAACGACCGAGAAAATTGTTCTCTTCCATGCATATACGTCATTGCATGGGTTCACAAAAAACTTATTGTCTCGAAATCCATTTACTATTTTGGAATAATTCTTGGAACATCAAACGTGGGTGATCCAGAGCTATAACTTCCATTTCTGTTTTTTTTTCAATTATGTACAGGGTGTGTCCATTATTTGTAAAAATATCTAAAAGACCCTGAAAATTTCCGTTTTCGCGGATAAATTATTGGCCCTAAATGAAAAGCTACACGGTATAATTTGCCTTAAGCAGCATCGTAAATTGTGTGGAGGTTTCTTCTATCATACAGGGTGAAAAATATCTTTGGAAATTTGTATTAATTGTACAAATTTTTGTATTTTTATCAAAGTTTGCCAATACTTTGGAGTTCGACGAGACTTAAAAAAATCACATCGATTTTGCGAAAGTTTTAGGGCGAGAAACCGCTAAGCGGCTGTTTATCGAAATTGCCCCCGCCCATCGACGATTTTTCGAAAGCAATCTCGTTTAACACGATGAACGTCCAATTAAAAATGTCCATATACGTAGTCCCGTTTACAAGGAGCACTCTGTACGAACGATTTACGTACCGCTATTTGCCTTACCGTACTTTAAAGCGCGCACCGGTACGTAAACAGAAAAGCTATTTTTGCGATGAAACGTAATCGTTTGTTTGTATCGCTCTTCACGGCGAAAACAGTTACCCGCATCCGATCGGATACCCCGGGGTACCACAACAATTCTCCGGCCTTATTTTTTTTATTTTGCTCTCCGCGTCTCGCCAATCACACTGATCCGCAGATTATTGTTATTATTAAATATTCCCGTGGCCAGGGGACACGTAACGGGCCCGAGCAATGAGGAAACCGAAGGACGGGAGTAGTAGGAAGTAACGATCGGGCGCGTTTTTTCGCATTTGCATACAGGGTGTCCAAGCGAAAGTTTCCGTCGTAATACGCCAACTCGAAACCTCAAATATCATCATTGTCATTTAATTAACTGGTTAGAGGACAACACACGATAAATGTGTGTTGTGTGTGGTAGGTTGTGTATTTTTTGTGATCCACTTATAAAATTCTTCGTAAATATGGACTTGCTTTACTTCGATGAAGAATTCATCGTACCCATAAGGTAATAGGCCGAATCAATAAGACCTTTCTATCTCTAGTTTCGAGTTCGATACCCTTTGAAAAATGATTCGTGAAAAAGCTGAAAATCTTCGTGTATCTTCTACACAAAATCACATTCAGAAATTTGAAAACTAACGTCAACACTAGGGAAACTATCAATCATTTGAGACGAAAAAATAATTTAAAGAACAAACCTCCTAAATTTAATAATCCTAAGCCAGACCACATTGCTCTAAAATCTAATCCCGAAATCGTGATTCTAAAATCAGATAAAGGAAATGGCGGTCATGAACACAAATGAATATCAGACAGATAAAAAAAATACTGCATCATATATGGGACGCAAACTTACATCTGTTATTAAGGCTCCTTCTCTATCAGAATCCGCGAAAAAGTCTGTCTGTTGGGTTTATATTATTACGTCTGGGTGTTCTTTAATTTCGCCCATATCGTTTTAATAGGATACAAATCTCAGTGAATAGTACATGGTAGTATGGCCACAGGAGGGGGCACCATATTACAATGTGAAAAACGTAAGAGACTATTGGCAAAATATCTGGATAGGAAAAAATGGTGTTGCCTCGTAACAGCCCATATCTTACTCATGATACATTTTTATGGAGGTTCCTAAAATTGACAGTATAGAATAATAATAATAATAATAATAATAATAATAATAATAATAATAATAATAATAATAATAATAATAATAATATATTATTATTATTATTATTATTATTATTATCATTATTATTATTATTATTATTATTATTATTATTATATTAAAATGGTCTAACACTGACTTGGAGAGGCTGAACAGGAAAATAAGGACCCTCATGACAGAGCATAAAATTCACCATCCTAAGGCATGCACTGAAAGGCTATACTTACCAAGATCGACGGGCGGAAGAGGATTGGCTGACCTCAACATACTGCATAGGCGTCAAGTAAATCAGTTAAAGAAGTTCTTCCACCGTAAAAAAGATACTTCGACGTTGCATAAGCTCGCTTGTCAGTCGGATAGATACTCAGCTGTAGATCTCAGAAAAAATGAAATAAAAGAAATACCAACACTTGATGAGGTAAAAGAGAAGTGGTTGAGTAAGCCCCTACATGGAAAATATCCAGCTAGTTTAAAATTGCTGGGAGCGAATCAACAAATTGGTTAGTTAAGGGGCAGCTATTCGCTGAAACTGAAGGATTTATCACAGCTATTCAGGATGGAAGCATAGCGACTAGGAATTATAAGAAGTATATCCAAAAGATCAGAATAGATGATGATAAATGTCGTATGTGTGGACGGGTGCCAGAGACCATCGAACATGTAATAGCAGGATGTCAAACGCTAGCTCCGTCTGAATACACCAAAAGGCACAATTTAACAGCAAATATTGTACACCAAGAACTAGCAATGCTATGCAACCTAGGAGAGGGAAAATACAGTCCATATTTTAAATAAATACCTGTTCCAGTTCTTGAGAACGAAAATTATCGGCTATACTGGGATACACCAGATAAACCAATAGCCAGCAATAGACCAGACATTATTCTGCTGGATAAGGCTAATAAAAAGGCGTATTTCATCGACGTCTCCCATCCCTCGGACCACAACCTGGAACAGAAAGAGAGAGAAAAAATTAATAAGTATTACGACTTGGCAGAGGAATATAAAAAAATACTCACCCTAAAAGCAGTACATGTTATCCCTGTAATTATATCGGCCACTGGGCTAGTTACCAAGAAGCTTGCAGGATACCTGGAAAGACTGAATATAACGAATAAAACCATCGTTACAAAAATGCAAAAGTCACTAATACTTGAAACTTGCAAAATCGTCCGAAAGACCCTGAATATCCCGGAGACATAAACCTTCCCCCCCCCCCCAAACTTTAGTGACTGGTTAATAAACCCCACTAAAGCTGCTACCCTAATAAGGAGAAAATAATAATAATAATAATAATATTATAATAATAATGATGATGATGATGATGATGATGATGATGGTAATAATAATAATAATAATAATAATCGATTTATCCGATCATTCTTGGAGGAATAACAAGCTTTGCAGTCCTGCTTACGGGTCGACTGTAGAGTATACTCCGGTTCACAACTGAAAAAATAAATAAATAAAAAATAATAATAATAGTAATAATATTAAAATAATAGTTATTGAAATATTTTAAATTATTGCACAAGATTTATACAATATAATATAGATAATGTTACAATGATAATGAAACAGCCAGCTATAATAAAAAAAATAAATCTAAAAATTCATTATTGGTAAAATATTAATTTGTTTACGACAGAGGCTTTTGTAATTCCAATAAATGGACCTTACTTTTTTTTCCTAAATACTCGAACTGAGCTGGATTCAAAATATTTATAATGACCATTGTAAAGTTTATTAGCATTAAATTTAAACGAATTACGCTGAGGCCTATCCAGAACGATCTCTCAGGTGGATTGATAGTAGTATATTATGCAACAAGTGCGGTAAACGGCATTTGACTCATGATTTATTTCACACCGAGCGGAGCGCAGCGGAGCGAGTTTTTAATAAACGAGTGAGTTAAAAAGTTTACCGAACATGTTGCATACTATACTTTTTCCACGACCGTTAGTTTTTGCTTTTTTTTTTCCGTAGCGTCACAACCCTTCGTGGGTCTTAGCTGCATCTACGACTCGTCTCCATCTGTCCCTGTCCAACACAACCTCCTTCCAGTTCCGTACTCCCAAGATTTTTACATCCTCTTCGATATTGTCCCTCCATCTGAGCCTTGGTCTTCCTAAGGGTCTCTTTCCTGCTGGGTTTTCTTCCCATATCCTCTTTACAAGACGTTCATTCGGCGATCTCTGCACGTGTCCAGCCCACCTGAGCCTTTGTGCTTTTATTTCGTTTACTAAACTCGGTCTTTTGTACATGTCGTTAAGCTCCGCATTCGTTCTTATTCGATATTGAGCCGTTCTCTCATCTATTGTTGGTCCAAAGATTTTCCGCAACATCCTTCGTTCAAAGCGTCTTAGCACTAGTTCGTTCTGCTTTGTCATTGTCCATGTTTCCGAGCCATACATTACGATTGGCTTGATTACTGCCGAATATATCCGTAGTTTTGAGTTCCTAGATATCAGTCGGGACTTAAACAGGTTCTGCAAGGCGAAAAAACATTTATTGCCCTTTTGTATTCTTGCTTTTATTTCGCTGGTGATATCGTTATCCGAAGTTATAACTGCTCCTAGGTACTGAAATTGGTTTACGCATTCAAAATTGTGGGTGTCCATGGTTAAGTTCTGTCCTATTCTATTAGTTCTATTAGTTTTTGCTTACATTTTCGAAAACATTCGCGAATACATTCACTGACATGACCGTCAGAGTTGACAAACATCAAAATTCAAAGCGTGGGAAATATCTCCGAAAACATCCGATTGCTCCCAAACCCGTGCGGTAAAATCCCGGAAATGTCCGAAGTGGCTCGAATTCGTGGGAAACGAACGAAATGACGCTTCCCGCACGCTAGATCGGTGCGTAATTAGATATTTTACAGACGGGAGTAGAAAAAGAATATTTCATAACTTTAAATACAACAGTAAAAATTGAAAGAGTTTTGAGCCATTTCAATACTTTTTCTGATATACGATCAAATTATATCAAACCATAAACGAATCAGGCACAGCTGGTCTGGATTTTTTGTAATCTGGTTTTATCGCCAATGGTCAAGAATTGATAATATAACTTTAGAAAGGATGAATGCCTCACATAGTTTGTTTTCTTCTTCTTCTTCTTATTCCTACGTCAAGTCCAATGACTTGCGTTTACTGGGTAATATTTAATCTTATTTGTGACTCTGATGACCAGCTATCTTGACATCTTTTTTGCGGTCTGCTTCTTGATCCTTTCCCATGAGGCTTTCAATCTCTTGTGATTTTTGCTAATCTGTGCTCTTCCATTGTCATTACGTGTTGATTCCAATTTCTTCTTCTCGTCCCCATCTTACTATATATTTACATGGTCTCGTCTAGTCTTTCCTATTATGCATCTTAATGTTTTCATATCAGTTGTTCTTAGCGCTTGTTATGTTTTCTTTGTATCGGCTTTGGTTTCTATGGCATATTTGTTTTATACATGTTTTATAGATTTTTGTTTTCGTTTTTATTCCTAGATGTTTATTTCTCCACACTATATTCCTTAATGCACCTGGTGTGGCTGCTGCTTTCCTTACTTGGTAAAGATCTCAGTGGCTTGTTACATCTACTCCTAAATATCTTGATGACATTGCTTGCTTTATGATTGTCCCTTCTATCTCCAGCTTACATCTTATTGATTCCTTAGATACTGTTAGACATTCTTTGTAGGCTGCCTTCGCTATTAGATCAGTACCGCATCGTGCGCGTAACATAGAATCGTGACAATTGTGTTTCCTATTTTGTATCCTGTTAGTCTTTTTACTTTTTCTATCATTTTGCCCATAATCAGGTTAAATAGAAACGGACTTACTTATAGTTTGTGTTGTTCTTTAAAATTCAATATATGTATTTGCATATAGCGTTTTGAGGGACATATAAGTTTTTTTTACATAAATTAGAAATGTGACCACTATATCTCAACAGCGCCCGTTACTTTTTTTGCTTCATTTGTAAGACTTTTAAGATCCAAACTTCCACGTCAATTTGAGAAAATTCGACCTGGCTATATCAAATTTGTAAAAGAGATAAAACAGAGGTCCAAGAATTGAACCCTGTGGCACTCCCTAAGTAACATTACCCAAATCCGATATACCGATATTAGTTCGTTTTCTGTTATTTAAATACGCCTTGACAGATCGGTGAAACCAAAATGATCCACGCAATCGAATGTCATAGTAATGACCAATATTACACAATAGAATATCATACAACAAATAAACTGTTTTTCAATATTTAAAAAAAACTAATTTTGTTTTCATGGCTAACTTGATTTTGTGCGATATTTCAAAAATGACACTAACAGCTCATAGGTATTTAAAATTAAGGAGAAAAAATGCAATTGACGGACACAAATACAGGGTATTCAATTTAAGAAAGATGTCACTTGTCAAAATTTCACAGATAAAATATTTATTTTAGTTGCAGAAGGTTTATATTCAGACTCGGATAGTTTTTACAATTTAGCCATCTAATCATCTTTTAAATCGTAATCTATTTGAATCTTTGACCATTATGTTCGAATATAACGCTCAAATTTCGCCAGTTAAAAACAATATTCAAATTTAAACCATCCGCTCTAAGGCATAAGAGGGGGAGTTATAAGTAACTAAAGGTTCATGAATGCTTTTATAATTACTTCCCCGCTTGAAAAAAAAACGCTCACATGCAAGCATCAGTTTCATATTTTCAGTAAACGAGTATCCACCCTTTCGATTGCGGACGGTGGCACGCCAATGGCGCGGTCTTCTCGTTCGCACGCCAAAAACTCATTTCTTCGTAATAACACCAATTTCCTGGATCGCGTGTCACAATTCCCAATTTAAAGGCCGCTTAACACAAAACTCGATTCCATACATCATTGTCTGAAAATTATAAGGGCATTATTCAAATCGTACGCGGTTTTTGATAAAGAAAAAACAATATCCTTTTAATTTTCGGCTCGCCCGTTTGGCCACACGAAAGTTGTGTTTTTATCCGGCTTCGTATCGAAGTGTTTGACTAGCTAAGCTAACTAACTCGCACATTATAATAATCGTTAATTAAAGGGGAGAGATGATAGTATATCATAACCCTGCAGATCAGACCCTTACCCTTAACCATTCCAGGACCGTCGTAGGAATTTATCTACCTACACTAACAAGCGAGATATAACTATGTTTTCAATCATAAAAAATTAGTGCAAAGTATCAATTTATTACGTTCTATTTCATTATTTTCTATATAGTATCATTATTAACATACAAAATATTAAATATAATAATAATAAAGTATCAGTCACTCAAAAAATCGTCGCTATAGATATTGTCATTACTCGTTTTTCACACAGTTAGTTTTGTACTGCTATTTTAGCTACCTCTTACAGAATTTCTTTTATGGTACTATCACTAAATTTTGGTGCAGTGTTAAATGCGCTTTCAACTCAGACCAAATCATCTCAACCGGGTTAAATATACAGTGTTAAAGTTGCTTTAATTCGGGGAGAAGAAAAGAAAAGTGTTATGGGACGTTGATACGGACTTACACCGTCGACTGTATCCACGATCATTCAGGCTCAATCGGCAGGCAGTTCTAGTAAAAACGTAAGAAAGGCAAAATTTCAAGATTTGGATCGGGCAATGTTGCAGTGGTTCCAACAGCAACGTCTTAAAAGTGGACCACTCTCTGGCCCTATCGTAAAACTAAAAGCGAAAAATATTCAAGATTTTTCTCTGGATCACCATGAAGACACCACCGCTGGTTTATTTGAAAGTTGGTTTAAAAACAAACTAGTTCCAAACATTCCTCCTAATAGCATCATTGTAATGGACAATGCAAGTTTTCACAGTAGACTAAAACCCATACATTTATAATAACGACATTTATTTTCACGAAGATTATACCAAAAAGCAATTAATTGAGGTTCAACACAAATACATACATAAATAAATAAATATTTCCTAACAAAACCCCAAATAATTAAATTCTAACAAAGTACGGACCTATTCGGCCATATCTCATTCTTACAGCTTGCCCGGGTCTTTCCTTAATTCGTATCAGTTAGTCACTTTCTTATATCTATAAACAGACTTTACCTCTCTAAGGAGGTAGGTGACCTACAAATGAAGTACCCAACATTTTGA